ACTGTCCCCAGGGCATCCTTGGGAAACTGCGTGACAATCACAGCAGCTTTGGTGTCCCTCTCCCACCTGCTCCTGTCTTGCCCCTGATGGGGACCCTGCCCTGCCCCTTCCTGGGTTCCTCTCACAGAGCGGGGACCAGCGGGTGATGCCGGACACAGCCCGAGAGATTCTGACACGAGCGTTCAGGGCTCAGCCGCAGGGAGCGGATGGCCGGGGTCCCCCCGGAGCTGCAGGTTAGGAACAGGACAGTGGGACAGGGGACAGGACAGTGGGACACGGGACAGCGGTCTGCGGCTCCTCGGCGCAGTCCTGGTGCCACCTCGTGGTGAGCAGGGTCCCAGTGCCACAGCTGGACAGGCGGAGCGGTGTCACGGCGATTGGAATGGTGACGCTGCTGGGCGGGCAGGCGTGGACACACTGCACTGTGTGGGGACACAGCCGGACAGTTCAGCGACACAGCCAGTGTGTGACACAGCCCGACAGTCACTGCAAGGGCAGGCTAAGCACCTGTGTGCCCAACAGGCCATGAAGTGCCCCTGGGAAGAGGCAGCAGCTCGGAGGGGTTGTGGTCCCCACACAGATCCAGCTTTGTCCAGCCTTGAGCTGAGCCTGTGGCAGCTGGGGTGCAGGGACCCCAGGCCCAGGCAGAGGGAGTCACATCCCAAAGATTCTCACGGGCTGTGATGAGCAGAGATCCTGTAGGAAGTGCTCTGGGAGGGTGGGGATATCAATCTGTGGGGACAAATGTTTTGGCAGGGCTCATTACAACAGACCAAGGCAAGGTGGATTTAAATTAAAGAGTGTTGGTGTGGATTAGACAGAGTGAGGAAAATCTTCCCTGTGAGGGTGGGCAGGCCCTGGCACAGGTTGGCCAGAGCAGCTGTGGCTGCCCCATCCCTGGCAGTGCCCAAGGCCGGGCTGGAAGGGGCTTGGAGCCACCTGGAATAGTGGAAGCTGTCCCTGCCCGTGGCAGGGGGGGCAAAACGAGAGGATCTCTAATGTCCTTTCCAGATCCAACCAATCTGTGACTCCATGACCTGTCCTGGGTGGGGATGTGCATTCACCCCTGGAGATCTGTGTCCATCCCTGGAGACCTCCAATGCCCATGGCAGCAGGTCTGCCCCTCTCCCAGCCCCCCTCTCCACAAGCAGAGTCATTAAAGGAAGTACCTGTGCAATCAAAGTGACAGCCTCGGGGTCAAGGCTCCTTATGATGAAGATAATGAGGTTTTAGCATGGTAGATGCACAGAGGTGTGGAGCTGATGGGCCTGGAGGGACAAAGGGCACATCCCAGCAGGATCCTCGTGAGGAGCACAGGTCCCTGTGCAGCCTCAGCAGAGCTGCTGGTCCCGGGCACTGAGCAGGGCTGGTGCCCACCTGCATGGCTCCACGTCCTGTGGAGGAGGAGAGATGGCTTCGGGGGCTGGTTGGCTTGGGGAGCATCTGGCCCTCACCCCAGAGATCCCCTGCCAGCTCTCCACAGACCCAAAACACAGGGGTTCCTCAGGAAGCAAAGCCTTTCCCTGACCTCTCCCTGGCCATCAGGTGGTGCCAGACTCAGCTGGCACGCTCCCACTTCTGCTCCTGCAGGATCTTTGGACTTTGTGCTGATTTTGCTGTTTGCTGTTATTTAGCAGCAGAATTCACTTTTCAAAGGGGCAACAACCCTGCTCCCCACACCCTGTGTCTGCTGAGGCTTTGTCCCTCCCATTGCGCATCCCTCTGCCCCCGGGGCAAAGGCACAGGAGGAGGGACCTGTCGCTCTCAGTGTCCCCTCGGTGCCCCGTCGCTCCCGGCCAGGGCAGCCATGTCCCCCCCGCTCTGGATCGCAGCCTGGGCGCTCCTGCTCCACGGTACGGCAGAGGGAGGAGGGGCGCTGGGGTGGGACGGCACAGCTGGGGACCCCCAGGATCCAGATGTGGGGACGTGGGATGTCCCAGCCGCAGCTCTGGGTGAGGCAGAGGTGGGTGCACCCCAGGGTAGGAGCCAGACTGTGTCACGGGGCTCACCCTGCCCAGCTGCCTCAGGGGTGGGCCCGGGGCGGGTGACAGGTAAGAGCAGACCCCCAGGGTGCAGACACCTGGTACCCAAGAGCTCTCATGCTGAGGATGACCCCATCATGCATTGTCCCACGGAGCCAAGCTGTGTGCCCTTGGCCCCAAGTGAGAGGCCAGGTGCCAGCTGGTGATGGAGAGCCCAGGGAGTGGCGGTGGAACCCCATGCCAAGCAGCCCTGGGCAGAGATCAGGTCCAGCTGGACGTGGCCCCACCATCAGCCAGTTCCTTCTGCAGCCCCAGTGCTGGGATGCTCCTGCCAGCCCCTCCATGCTCTGTGCTGGGCACCAGCTGCTCTCTGTGATGACCCCACAGGCACCAGGAGATTTACCTCCTCTTGAACCAGGGGATGGCGTTGCTTTTCATCCACTATTCCTGGGGCCAAAACCACTGGGTTTTGTAAAAAGCCCCAAGCTCGGCTGGCTGGTTTGGGGCTGGGGACGAGGGTCACAGCTGCCTGCTGCAGTTCCGGGCGGGAGCACAGGTCCAGCAAGCCCCCAGGCTGCAGCCCGAGGTTCGCGGGTGTTGCCGTGCCCACAGGCTGTGCCGCAGGGCGGGCGCCACGGGCTCCTTCCACCAGAAGCGACATCCGCGACTGCACCGCGGAGCCGCCGGTGAGCCCCGCCTCGCTCCCCGTCCCTGTCCCTGGCACCCCGGGCACAGGGTCCCCCCCAGTGCCAGCGCGTCTCTCTGTGCCACCAGTACCTGCCACCGACGGCCACCAACACCACGGCGCGCCTGGCCGTGCTGCGGGGCATCCTGCGGACCCACGGCGTCCACGCCTACATCGTGCCCTCCACGGATGCCCACATGGTAAGGCGGGAGTGCCCCGCAGCCCCCGGGACCCCCTCCCTGCCCACAGCCACCTCTCACGGCTCCATCCCGGCTCCAGAGCGAGTACATCTCCGAGCGGGACGCCCGCCTGGGCTGGCTCACCGGTTTCACCGGCTCCGCAGGTGAGGGCATCCCCAAAGCCCCGGGTGGCTGCTCGGGGCTGGCACCCCCTGGGGATCCGTGCACACGGCATGGTCCCACTCCCCGAGAGCCGCTGGGAGTCCCTGCCGGCTGCAGGGACAGACAAAGAGGTGACCCCCAGCCCCCTCCCCGTGCCAGGCACCGCTGTGGTGACGCGAGACAAGGCTGCCCTGTGGACCGACAGCCGCTACTGGACCCAGGCAGAGCGGGAGCTGGACTGCAACTGGGAGCTGCAGAGGACAAGTCAGTGGGGGCACGATGGGGCCCTTCTGAGCCTCCCCGCTCCCAGGGACCCCCCCAGCCCCTGCCACAGCCTCCTCTGGGCTCAGCGTGGCTTGGGACACAGTAGAAATTCGCGGTGCCACCCAGTTCTCTCCTGCAGCCTCCATCGAGTCCATCGCGACGTGGATCCTGAAGGAGGTTCCCGCGGAGGGGAACGTCAGTTTGGACCCCTTCCTCTTCTCCATCGGTAGGGCTGGCTGACACTGGGGGCCACCGTGCCCACGGAGGGCAGCCCCTGGATATGAATTTACCAGGAGCCCAAAGGTGCGGGCTTCTCACCCCCCAGACACCTGGAACAGCTACAGCCGGGCTCTGCACGGCTCCGGCCGGACCCTGCTACCCCTCGAGACCAACCTTGTTGATCAGGCGTGGGGTGACCAGAGACCCCCTCCCTCCTCCAGCGAGATCTACAGCCTCCCAGCAGAGTTCACAGGTCTGACCCAGCGTCCCGCAGCTCTCCCACAGCCCCCCCAGCCTGGGGCGGGCCCTGCCCTGAGCCGGCCGCTTGCCCGACCCGCAGGGAGCAGATGGCAGGACAAGGTGGCCGGGATCCGGCAGCGCATGGAGCAGCACGCGCGGCGCCCCACGGCCGTGCTGCTGTCGGGGCTGGAGGAGACGGCCTGTAAGGAGGCACGGGGCCCTGGGGGCATGGCCGGGGCCGGGGGCTCCAAGCGGGTGCAGAGCTCTCGTTCCCGGCAGGGCTCTTCAACCTCCGCGGAGACGACATCCCCTACAACCCTGTCTTCTACTCCTACACCCTCCTGACCAACACGACCATAAGGTGGGCAGCACATCCCTGTGTGCACAGGGCTTGGAGGGGGCTCACCACGCACCCCCCTCCAGCCTTCCTTTCCTGAGCCAGCCCCCATGGGACCCTCCTCTCAGCCCCGTTGCCCCTTACCCCCAGAGCGGCTCCATCCTGCCATGCCCAGCCCCACTGACGGTCCTTCTGAGCCACACATCTTTCCCAATCCACCCCCCGCTCCCAGCCCACTCCAGGGCACGGCACACTCCCTTTCCTCGCAGCCTGAGTTTCTCCCGTTCCCAGCCCAGCATCCCCTCACAGCCCCCCGGGTCCCTGCTCTCTGCCGGCGTGGCCG